CATAAGTGGGTTGGGCCTTCCCGACCAAGCGGGGGCCCAGGCCAAAACAATTTTTTAACAAAAATATATAATACTATTAAAATCAACTAAAAAAATTGGAAACAAATATTTGTTAGTCCACTTTTGTTTATATTTTCTATTGGAAGTATATTTAAAAATAAATAAAATAAATGAAAGTTGATTATTCTGAATTAGTGTATTATGCACCTAGGGGTGGTCATGGATGGTTAATGTCCAAAACCAATCCATAACCATAAATAATACATATATTACAACCGGTTATTAAAACCAATTCTCATAACCGGTTTTTATTTTTTAAAATGGTTATAAACCGGTTATTAACCGGTTATATCCATAACCAATTTTATAATTAGTTTTGATTTAATTTTATTTTAAAATTGATTTTTTCAAAATCATAATATTGTTAAAATAACTATTGTTTTTTTTTTTAAATTCATAATTTTTGATTTCTAAATATTCAAAATCATAATTACTATTGTTAAAATTCATGAATGAAAAGTTCATTCAATTCATTCATTATTAAATGAAAAGTTAGTTAATTGAATGATTCAATTTAACTATTAATATATATCATTTCATCTAATTCATCTCCATATTTAAAAAATATCAGTTTAGTTTTATATTTTAAATTTATAATTAATTCATTTTTTTTCATAATTAATTTTTCTCTTAAAGTAAGTCATTGATGACACAATATCAATAATATTTTATATGTTTTAGTTATTAAGTATAATTTAAGATATTGTTTACAATTTCGGTATTCAAGAGTAACCAAAACATATTTTTTTTAGAATCAATTTCTAAGTGTTTACAATTCTTTTAATCTTATATCACAATTATATATATATATATATATATATATATATATATATATATATATATATATATATATATATATATATATATATATATATATATATATATATATATATATATATATATATATATATATATATATTATACAATTAAAATATGTTAATAATTCTTTTAAAATCAATTTCTGAGTGTTAAAGTAGTATCCAAGTATATGGCAAGGAGAAGAAAAAACATATACATGGTAGCAATTAATTTTACTATTCTTTTAATTCACTATAATATTTTATAAGTATATATTTTTCATCTTGGTTTTAATTCTCTTATCTGTGTCTTGATAACGTTAATTTTAATAAAATAATGCGGATTACAATAAATATCTCATTAAAAAATACATAGACATTAATACTTTTCTGTTTTTTCTACTGTGAACATTATAAAAGCAGAGGAGAAAAATAATTAAACCCTAGTTACCAATAATTTTGGAAATACCATATTAATTTTTTTTCATAATTAATAATTAATTTTTTTTTAAATTAATTTTTTTTTTTTTGAAAAAAATTTTCAAAGTTTTTTTTAATTAAAAAAAATTAATTTTATTTTGGATATGGATGTCCAAATTATGGATTTGGTTAAAACCATATTAAAAATATATCTAAAATGTGGATTTGGTTAAATCCATACTAATAATTAACCGGTTTTTAATAACCGGATTTGGATATGGATATGGATTATTTAAATAACCGGTTTATTTGAACACCCTTATATGCACCCCTAAGTGAGTAATGGCAAATATACTAGGTTGAAAATTAATAAGAATAAAAATTACATGTTGTATGGAATTCGGCTAAACCTGTGAAGACGTTAAAACATATATTTAACTCGGTGCCCTTAAATTTCTTGAGTTGTGGGAGTGTGATTCAAATTAAAGTTATATGTGATTTGAATCATATAAGCTTTTTTTTTCTCTAGCGCATAATAACATAACTATAAAAAAATATTCAAAATTTGGAATCTTTTAAAATTAATTTTAAGAGGACACTTTTTTGCAACTTTAAGTTGCATATAAAATCAATCATCTTAAACCTCTCGCGAAGTTTTCATTTTTGGTTGTTCTTCTCAACTCTTAAGGAGTGTGAGATCTAATGAGAAGAAATTTATTAAGTGTTAATGTTTTGTGAAATTTGAGTTTATATCAAGAATTAGGCTGTGGTTGTGTAGTTTGTATTGACTTTCCAAACAAAGAACAAAGAAATTGTTTCTTCTCCATTGAAGACTCTGGTATAACTGAGTAAAGGTAGCTACACAGAAAATTGGTGTTTCTAAATACTTCAGTTAGACCTAGAGCTCGGACAAGAGACTTTTGATATGGTAGAGTGAAGTCTGATGCGAACAAAGACTTGGAGAGGATTTTGGATCTTACAAGGTGAACCATTTTAAGATTGACTGAAAATCTTGTGGAATTCAGCCTCGTGAGTTATATACATCAAAGTGGAAGATTCAAATTGAAGTTATTCAATTGTTGTTTTAATTTTCAGTATGGTTTCTTGATTGTATTAAAACACATGTTGTAAAAATTGTCAAATAGTGAAAGACTACAAATTTTTAATGGTTCGCCACTGGAGACTAGATCTAGTGCAAAACGAGGACGAACATGCCAAATCATTCTAAATATTAGTGTAGTCTTCTTTATCTCTCTCTCTCTCTCTCTCTCTCTCTCTCTCTCTCTCTCTCTCTCTCTCTCTCTCTCTCTCTCTCTCTCTCTCTCTCTCTTTAATTTTATGAATATGTTTGCATGACTAGGTTTTATTTCTATTCTATGATGGTATGTTGCTATATTTTTATCTACTTATAGCAATTTATGTGTAAAGGTATGTCTCTAGCTTGCAAGAGAAGGTGGTCATTTTATCATTTAGATGAAAAAATCATCCTATCTAAATGGTCCACTTGAAGAGGCAGTGTTTGTGTTACAGCCTCCTGGTTTTGAAGTGCAAGACAAGGAGAACATGGTGTATAGACTCCATAAGGCTTTTTATGGTTTGAAGCAGGCTTCTAAAGCAACAAGAGGATTGATCAGTTTCTGATTCAAATAGGTTTTAAAAGGTGTTCGACAGAGTTTGGTGTATATGTGCAAAGTTCAAGTGAAGAAGAAACCATGATAATATTCCTATATGTGGATGATTTGCTCATTACAGAAAGCAAGACATCAAAGATTAAAAATGTGAAAAACAAGTTGAAATCTAAATTTGAAATGACTGATCTAGGGGAACTCTCATTCTTCTTAGGAATGTAGTTTCTGAAGGTGAAGAATGGAACAATTATGCACCAGCAGAAGTATATAGGTGAACTGCATGAGAAATTTGAAATGAATAGCTGTAATTCAATTTTGAATCCATCAGAGACAAACTCAAAATTGGATGAGTGCAGTGAGGAAGAAAGAGTTGATTAAACAATATTCAGACAAATGGTTGGTTCATTGAGATACTTGTGCAACATCATGTCTAGCATTTGCTACTCAGTCAGTGCGATTAGCAAGTTCATGCATGATTCAAGGAAGACTCACTTGATAGCTACTAAAAGGATACTTAGGTATATAAAAGGCACAAAGGAGTTTGGACTGCTATTCCCAAATAGAAGCAAATGTGAAAGAAGTGAACTCATTGGATACTTAGATATTGATTGGCGTGGAGACATCACAGATAGAAGAAATACCTCTGACTATGTTTTCAAGGTCAATGAAACAGCTATATCATGGTGTACAAAGAAGCAAACAATGACTGCACTTTCATCTTGTGAGGTAGAATATATTGCAGGAACATTTGCAACTTGCCAAGCAATATGGTACTTAGAATTGATAACAAGTCAGCTATTATCCTTGTTAAAAATCCAATCTCACATGGCATAAGTAAACACACCGATACAAGGTTTCATTTTATTAGAGAGTAAGTGAATAATGGAATGATTGAAGTGCAATATTGTCCAACTGAAATGCACCTGGCAGATGGGTTTACAAAGACTCTAAAGCTTGACAGATTTGAGTTTTTGAGAAAGAAATTTGGTGTTATAAGTGTTCAACAGTTATGAATTAAGGGGGAATATTGAGTTTTAATTCGTAACTGTCAGATGTACCAGTTAGTTAGCATTTTTGTTACAAATTGACTGTTAGTTAGTTACCTTGTATATGAATGACTTACTTAGCAAGCTATTGTGTAACACATATAAATAACACTTTGTAATGTGAAAATATAATCAATGAGAACCATCTTTATTCTCTCTTCTTTTCTTCCAAGATGTCTTCAAAGATGTCTAAACATTAGAGTGTGTTTGTCTGTGTGTGCTATTACTTTCATTTTGCAATTACAATATTACCGCGCATTAACTGGGTATGTTCATTTAAGTGCTTGTGTTCTAACAATAATCTTTACTGAAATAGAAAACTATGATAGATTGAAGATGACGCTTTGGTGTAGAGATTCTCATATTTACCTGATAAAAAAAATGCTTTTTTAATTGAATTGAATCGATTTTATTGAATTTCTTATTAGACCTATGTCCAACCCAAAACAACTTCAAATATTTTGAGTTAAATATAAAACCTGTGTATCGTATCTCATATTTGTCTATGCTAAACTTGTATATGTTACCCCCTTTGTTATGAACTTCCCATTTAAATTACTAATAATAGTAATACAACCATATATATAAAAGAATTAGTTGTTTCCCAAGAATAGTAAAAGATAGTAGCGTGTACTTTTGTATATTCAAGACTCTTATAATAAAAAAGATAATCAATTATCTTGCATCATATGTATCGTTTACCTTTAACTCATTCTAATAGAATATTTTATGTTATTTCTCATTGCCGGCTGATACAAGTAAAGTAATATTGACTTTCTTATAACTTTTCTTTTTCTTTTTTCTGTGTTTTGGGGCATGGATCATTCCTTCTATTATAAAACGTATATACCAAACATGCGAATAGGTTGTGTCCAAAACTATGTTTGACCTTCATATAATGTTCCAAAACTTACAACTAAAAAACCTCAAAAGATTCACCATCCATCATGAATGATGACTAACCCAACAAAACACTTCGTTATCTTCAATTCATTTCCTCTTAACTCTATAAATATTGTCTTTCATTCACTTTTACACAAAACAAAGACATGACTTCCCTCAAACAACTTCTCACACAAGAAGGCTTCAGCAAAACAAACAAACTTTCAATGGAAACAAAAGACTCATTTCAACCAAACACTCAAAGAGTTTGCCCCCCCTCGGAAATATCGAATTCGACGTCGTCGGTTTCACCGGATTCAACAAGAGAAGGACCGCCTATGGATGAAGTTGCAATCAGAGCTGTGATTAGTATACTCAGTGACTATGTTGGAAGATATATAAACGATAGTTTTTTCAGAAAAACAGTCTTTGAAAAGTGCAATTATTATTTGGTCAGAAGAAAAAACAGTGCGGAATCAGAATCAGATACTGAGAATGAGATTCTTGGTAACATGAAACTTTGTTTGGAGAATGTTGACAAGTTAGTACAAGATCAAGGGTCAACAAAGAAAGAGCTAAAGATGAGTTTTTTGAGGAATTCAATTGAGCTTTTAACCATAATTGCTTCATTGAATTCCAATAGTTTACGTGGCGGAACAACATGTGGACTACCAAATTCTCATCTCTCTGCTTGTGGTCAACTCTACATGGCAATACTTTACAAGCTTCAGAAAAACAATAGGGTTTGTGCTAGACATTTAATGCAAGTGTTTTGTGATGCTCCATTTTTTGCTAGAACCTACTTGGTTCCTGAATTTTGGCAGCATTTGTTTCTTCCTCATCTTGTACATGTTAAAATTTGGTATATAGAGGAGGTTGAAACAATTTCGGATTCAAATGAAGGTGATGGTGAAAAGGAAAAGAAAATGGAGGGTTTGAGGAGAGTGTACAATAATAAGGTGGACATAGGAACTATCATGTTTGCTTTGTATTATAAGCAGTGGCTTCAAGTTGGGACTAGTGAACCTTCTTTTCCTGTTGTCCCTTTACCAACAAGATCTTAAATATCTAATGTTTTGTTATATAAAAACAAATCTTTTTTATTCGTTTTGCATTCATTATTTATTCATGCAATCATTACAAGGGTTAATCTTGTTATGCATAGTGGGTCTTAACTCCGAATAAAAGAAGAGAGTTGTGTTAAGAAGTTCACAGTCAACGGAAAACATTGTTAATTCTCTATGACATGGATCAATTACAAAATAATATGAATGCTAGGTCGTTGCTTGTAAGAAACACGTTGTATGGCTCGAACAATATTAAAAGAGTAAGGGTCACTGCATCACCGCCCGAATGTAGTTAAAAATAAGTAAGGGTTTTCACATTTTTGTGAACGGTTGTGAGTAAAGAAGTTAGTTCATGAGAGTAGGACTCGTTTTGGATCATGGAATATAGGCGGGCTTACTTGAAAATCTATGTAAATAGTGGACACTATAGTTAGTTGGAAGATCAATTTTATGTGCCTACAAGAAACTAGGTGGATAGGTGATAAAGCGAAAGAATTGGACAAGTCAGAATTTAGACTTTGATACACCAGAAAAGTTAGATCGAGAAATGAGGTGAGGATTATTATGGACAAGGATTGGAATAAGGATGTCATGGACGTTAAAAGAGTAGGAGATCAAATCATAACCTTGAAATTTTTAGTGGAACAAGATACTTTTAATGTTATTAGTGCTTACACACCTCAGTTGGCAAGCAAAACAACTTAAGATGAAACTCTGGGAGAATTTAGAAGACTTATTGCATTATATACCTTAAGGAGATAAGTTTTTTTCTAGAAGGGGGTCTTAATGGACTTGTGTGTAATGTAGCAAGAGGTTTTAAAGCGTGCATGAGGGGTTTGGTATAGGGGAGGTGAACGTGGAGGGTAAATCCATCTTGGATTTTTCGTCACCTTGAATCTTACTATAGTAAATACATGATTTAGGAAAAGATATGAACAAATTATCACATAAAAGTGGAGTGACATGTTCTCAGATATATTTCTTTCTTATCAAGAAGTCAGATAGAAAGATTTGCTTGGACTGTAAAGCTATTTCAGGAGAGAGCTTGACTATACAACATAGAGTTTTTGTTATGGATGTAAGAATTAAGGGGAAAGAAAATAGAAGAAGTCACATGAGAGCACCACATATCAAGTGGTGGTATTTGAAGGGTGAAAAATAAGAAAATTGTCAACACAAGATCTTGGAGGGAGGGTTTGCACAATCACAAGAAAGAGTAAATGATATATGGAATAAGATAGTTCAAGATAATAGAAAAGTGGCTAAAGAGACATTGGGTGAATCAGGAGGTTTTGAATCTAGGGTTAAAGTATCATGGTGGTGGAATGAAAGTATCCAGAGTAAAGTTAGAGTAAAAATGATTGTTTTAAAGAATGGTCTAGGTGTAAAAACATTGAAACTCAGGAAAAGTACAAGAAAGCTAAAAATGAGACCAAGAATGTAGTGAAGCAAAAACTTAAGCTTTTGACGAATTATAACCATATGACGTGAAATCGGCTAGATGCAACCTTGCTTTGAGTTGCACTCATAATAATATGGAATAAGACTGCCTAGATGCATCAATGCTTTGCGTCATGCTTATAACAGTATGACATAAGACATGTTAGATGCAGATATGTCTTGAACTGCAATTCGTGTCCCGGAGAATCATTCCCCGACCAAGGGTAAAGGATCCTTATTCTTATCCCGAGACACAACTCAGATCAAGGTGAACGTCTCCTGGCTCCACCACTTACGTCCCTTGGATGGGTTAGATTTGAAGGGGGTGTGCCAACCATGTAGAAATGCGTGTAATGGTATTTGATTTTTGTAGTCGGGTGTGCAAAGCGTCTCCAACAGTTCTCATGAATTCTTTAAGCGTGTTAGGTGTAACACCCCAAAAATTTAATTAGAGTTTTATTCAATTTTCGGTGTGCTTTGTGATTTACTATGTGTTAATATTTAAAGTAATAATGAGAGAAATTAAGAATTTATTAATAAAAATATACATATCAAAATAATATGAAATTGAAGGGTTATGGGGTAATAAAGTGATCTCATAAAATAAAGGAGGTAGAAGAAGAGAATAATTAAAGTAAAAAGGGATTAGTAGGAATAAAATAAACTAGGGTTATTTTATATAAGAATGAGGTGAGTTTGATCATAGGTATTAGTTTTTGCCAACCCAAGGAAAGAGAAGTGCAAAAGTAGGATCTCACATCACCAAGAACTCAAGGTTTTTATGCATAATCGAGGCAGGGGAGATTATCATATATTTGGTGTTTAAGTTTTGGGATAATAGAGGCTCCCTTAACCCTTTTTCTTTAATTAATTTGTTGCTTTTGAATCATACGAGGTTTGTGCAAAACTTCTATGATTATGATGTTTATGTGTGTTAAACTATTGTACAATTATATGTGGAAATTTTGTATAATTATGTGTTAAATTGGAAGGGTTGGTGTTGCTTTGATGTTCATATGTGTATGTGATTAATTAATGAATAATTATATATAATTTATGATATATGTGTTGGAATTTCATCATTTGTGATGTGAAAATCGTTGTACATTCGTATGTATTGGATTTTGCATTTTGGACTGTCATAGGATTGCGAAAATTGGAATTTGAGACTGATTTGGTTGAGAAAATGCACAAAAATGCATTCTGCCAACGATGAAGGGCGTCACCTTAGGTGACGGTCCAACATTCATCGTGTCAGAGAAAATGACGTATCGCCTAGCTAACGGGCATCAGCGACTTTGACGAGCGATTTCCCAGACCGTCCGTGCCTCGTGACAGGCAGTATTTCCTCCGTGATTGTCAACAATGACGGGTAGGCATACCCAGGGGAAGACGATCATCATGGTCGTGACGCTCTAACTGTCAACCCTATTCGATTTTTTAAAATAATTCTCTGACTTATTTTATATTGTTTAAGTGATAATCATGTAGAAAAGAGTTATGTTTATTTATGATCTATTTGATTGATAGCCATCTCGTGAATAGGCGGGGTTGAATGTTGATGGTTTATGTTCAAGGCGAACAAATGTTTTAGCCCTAACCAACAATGTTGATATGTTCAGGTTCACAAGAACCAATGTTAGCCTTAGCAGACAGTGTTAATTGGTGTAGGAGGTTTTGATGGAGAATTGCATTTGTTTGTAACATCATGCATCATGTATATTGGAATTATCTTAGGACTTTGGTCTAGTGTTTAGGATCACTCAATAACATACCTCTGATAGTCAGTTGTCATACCTCAAAAAATATGATCCTTCGCGATGGTCGTGGAAAAAATAGTTCGAACATAGTTTCCACCGAACTTTATTTATTCCAATGAAGGAATAGAGAAAATATCGATAAAACCTTTAAAAAGGAATAATGGTCATTGCAACCATATTCAAGTTTAGGAGTCGATTACGCAAGGGGAACGTATTAGCACCCCTCATGTCCGTTGTACTCAACGGGAACCTCTTAGTTAGATTCACGATTTGAATGTTATCTGATGCGTTTGCAAGTGAACGAATATATCAAAGTAATATAAAAGATTTTCGAACCCACAGGGACCAATGTCAACCTACCATTATCTATTGTTGCGATGTAAAGCTAAGGCCAATGAAATATGGATTTGGGGAAAATAAAACAAGAATTAAAACTAAATTAAGGATTAAGAAATATATCAAGAAACAAAGGCCAGAATATGGATTCCGTATTCCTCAGGGACTCTGTAAATTATAGGCGTTAATTATGGTTAAATTATGTTTCGTAGAAAATACTAGTTTAAAGACTCTATCTCACACTCTCGCGCTATTGACTAAAGCTACACTCCCTAACCATGATATTTTACTCTCACTCGCCCATTTTAATTAAGAAGCGTATTTTGAAAACTAATTAAATTCTAATCGATACCCAAGGCGCTCTCACTGTATTTAGGATCGATACCCAGTTTCCACTATCCGGTCTAATCCTCACACTCTCATGCTATCGGCTCAAACCTTTATTTGCTTTTCACTCTCGTGACAAAACATTAATATTTAAACTTGGAAACTAAAGGCAAAACAAAATTTACTAACATTTCGCACCTAATTTCACTATTGAGTTCCGTCGACAACGATAGTCCTCATACACCGGTCTCATGACAATTTAGCCAGACATGGTTGCAGAAACAAATAAACAATTTTGGTTTTTTGAATTAACTAAAGACATAATAAGTGGTTTAAAATAATTTAAAGCGATGTTTGCAGAAAAAGGTAGAAGTTTGGAACAATAACAATGACAAAAAAATAAAGTGTAAAAGCAAATGACAGAAATTAAAGGCAAGAAAATAAAGTGCGATAAAAGTAAATGAACCTAAAATAAAAACTGATATTAAATTGAAAGCAAGATTGTTGATACAAGCAAGTTACACAAATTATAGGCCTAAACACAAATTGTGGAGTAGTTTCTCGATGTGAGAAAACTACCCCTTTTACAATTGTGATTTATGCCTAAAACTACAAACAACGCTTCCGCATCAAAAACTTGGATACTGGAAATTGTGAATCCAAGGTCTATTTATAGGAGGAATTTCATTTAATAACTTCCAAAGGTCATGTATGAGTCATGGAGAAAGTGGGAGAAACCTCCAAAGTAGTGTTGTAGTGGGCGGTTACTTTCACATTTCTGAACTGAATGGTGACCGCTATTAGGCTAATGGTGAATGCCATTAGCTTTAGTTTGCTGATGACTTGTATTGGGTACATGGTGAACGCCATTAGGGCCATGGCGAATTCCATGTACCAAAAAATGACAAATTTTACACCTTTTATTCATTTCTTTGCTTTTTCCCAATTTTCTTACACAGACGCTTTTATTCAACAAATACCTGAAACACAAATATAATACGACATAATACTACAAAAAATAAGTAAAACGATACTAAATTACATGCGAATGGAGTCGAAATAAACGATACATTTTCACGTCATCATTAACTTGTGCGAATTGTTTTCTTTGAATAGTAAAAGGTTAAAAGGAAA